GCCAACGGAAAGAGGGCAGTTCAGGCGGTGGGAAGTAGTGCTAGTACTTTAATACTTGAAAACTACCTTCCATTTACCAATATATACCAAAAAGTAACAGCAAGGGAAGCAGCTTCACCACAACTAGTGACATCTCTGGAGTTACTAATAAAAAAAATAATAATAATGATTGCACTAAAAACCAGTCCCACCTACCTGTAATTACTAGTCTTTGAGACCAGTTCTCCTAAAAGCAGGCAGTACCGATTGACCCATTCTCCCATTGATTGAGACAAATATTAATATTGTGTACAAAAAAAAAGTGGAGAGTTTTTAAGTATCAGAATACTAGCAGTACCTCCTTTATTTAACCCGTTTTCTATGCGCATATTACAGGATACATGAAAAGTATTAACTTTTGGAATAATCTTTGTAACCAGCTAAAGGGAGCAACATATGAGATCAAAGAGAAGAGAATAAAAAAAATGCAAATATTGATTATCTCAAGTGTACCAACCATACTGACACTAATACTATCTCTGTCAAATAGAGTAAAAGGTTTTTAGAGAAATTGCTCATTTAGAAACTAATATGGATTGGAGCTCACATCTAAAGCAATACTAAGGATCAGGATGGCTGCCAAGTGCATTATTAAGAAAGGTAAATTATCTCAAACATGCAAAATGTATTTAAGTGCGAGAGTGGTTTTGGTGTGAATTTAAAAGATAAACATAAAACTTATTTTTACCTATGAATGATCCTCTTTCCTATCCTGACTGATCAACATCGTCAATGGAATATTTAGCAAATAAATAATTAAACATTTTAAAAAATGACTGACAGAAAATGAGCTATATGTATTTGATTACAAATAAAATATGATATAGGCCAGGTCCACTGACCATTATCATTATAAAAAAAACATTAAAAAGCACCAGTGGTATTTTTTTCTAGCCTGTAAATAATCATATCTGAATTCACATTTTACTTTATTTTAAAAATTTAAAGTCATCTCATAATTGTCGAATATACAAAAAAAAATAAAATCTTCAAACCCTAAAAAATTATAAATTCTTTAACTCCAAAACTTAAATCATAAAACATCGCAATGCAGGTTGTCTCTAAATATTTTGTAACAAGTATTTCATATATATATATATATATATATATATATATATATATATATATATATATATATATATATATATATATATATATATATATATATGAAACAGGATAAAATAGCTTAACATGTTAATCACCATTTTGAACACACATGCTTACTCAATATCAACTTTCTCCTTTTCTCTGTATAAAAAATATATATTCCTGTATATAAATTCCATTCTAGAAAGAATAAATTAATTATTTGAATGAAGTATTTAAGTACAAAAGAATATAAACATAATAATGATGATGGCAATGAGTTTACTTTATAATTAGTACAAGCAGATAGCTCCACAAGGAATCAATTAATAATACAATCTATCTCATCTGTTTGCCCTTTTCCTTCATTTTCAGAAATATTCTTTTTTTTTATCTTGTATTGCTATTAGTAATATTCCCAACATTATAACAATTATAATGTCAATAACATTAATAAACGCATTGCTATTATCAGCATTAGAAAAAACTTTCAACCCAATCGGGCAAGGTAACCAGGTTTAGTAATCGACTTCTTGGTAACTAAGCAGTTGTGGCACGATCCATGTGTAAAAACACTTTATAAAACAAATCTATCAAACATTACGTGTTCCCAGCCGTATTGGACTAATAGAATAATCAATAACATTAGTAATAATATCAATATCATCATTAATAGTACGGCTACAATCAATATCAATAATATTAATATTAATAATATTAACAACATTAATATTAATAATATTAACAACATTAATATCAATAATATTAATTACAGCATTGATATCAATAATGATAATAATAATAAAACTAATCATCATCATCATCATCATCATCATCATCATCATCATCATCATCATCATCATCATCATCATCATCATCATCATCATCATCATCATCATCATCATCATCATCATCATCATCACAATGTCACCATGACAATAATAATAACAATAATTAGTGATAACATAACAGTGATAATGATGATATTGGTGATGATAATGATAATTCCAATAATGAAAATAAAAATAATAATAATAATAATAATCAGATGATGAAGAACAACAAGTACAAGAAGTGAAAAGCTCTATAAACTCTGAACAACCTTTCTTTCATATCTGTACAGGTGACGCAAATTTCGTCAAAAACATCCAAGACCATTAAGCTGTTACTCTTCCAGAAGGGGTTCTTGGTCTTCTCTAACTTCCCCCTTCTTGGTAGGGGTGCGAGGCCTTACAGTCTCAGCCCCCACCTCTTCATCGACCATGTTCAGTTTCTGGTACTTCTTACCTGACTTCACTACCTTCTGTGGATGAATTAAAAGAATATGATAGGGTAAATCAGTGTAAAACATTTATGTATTTGGAATAGGTTGGGTGATGTGCTAACATTATAAGCAAATGTGAAAAAGCTACTACAAATTTGAAGACAGATTTCACATTCATGTCTCAAAGAAGAATATGCACATTCAATAAGAACTATTAAATATATCCAAAATTACCTCATTGTTACGGAATGCTATGACATCTGCTATGTTTTCAGGCATTGGTTGCCCCAATGTTTCGGGCAGCTTCAGGTTCAGGACTCCCGCTAAGAATGTCATTAAGCCAAAGACGGTAAATTGCATATTTGGAATGAAGTCACCCAGCATAAGGATGAAGGGAGCAACTATGCCACCAACCCTTGCAGCAACAGAAACAATGCCAACAGCCGAGTTCCGAATAATGGTGGGAAAAATTTCAGCACTGATGGAAGAATGGGAAAAAGAATTACATTATTGACCTCCTTTCAAATATTGTTTTACGCATAACACTAAAATATATCTCAATATAAAAATACAAATATCTACCCCTAAGTCAATAACTACCATTAATAATAACACTGAATTTTATCTACATAAAAATAGATATTTAACTTTTTACTTACCTATGCACATAAGCAACAGAAAAACTTGCAGAAATGCTTAATTTGCCACAAAGGGCAAGTCCAGTTATAACTGTAACATACTTTACTGGTATAAATTGAATTAAAACACAGGCTGTTCCTCCCAACAGCATAGCTGTACATAAAGTTATTCGTCGACCAACTCTGAAATCAGAAACAAAACATACAAGAAAATATTTCAATGTTGTTACAGCTACATTTCTTACATTATGATCTATAATATTACAAAAAGTACACATACCTATCAATAACTGCAGCAGCTGTGATACATGCTGGAATCTCTATCAATCCACTAAGAGCTGTAGAAATGTACACATCTCCTCCAAGGTTGCTGGCAGCCATTGTCAACCCATAGTAGGTACAACTATTTACAAACCTGAAAGGCATGGCATCAGATTACCTCAAAACTTCATGTAAATTTGATAATTATATTTTGGCACTTCAATAACACTTACAAGATGAAATATTAAGATATTATGAATAATTTTGTTAGACTATGAAGTAATTCATTTTCCTTACAAATAAATTATGATTAACCCCTTTGGATCTAGATGACATGACCATCACGTCATGAAAAAATTTAGACTGAGGGACAGGAGATGCTGCCATCACCACATGAAAAATTTATCAGACAGGAACAACTCAATGCTAATAACATATTTATCTACTTCGCACAGAGGATAAACTGGATCTAGTTGCATCACGGAAATTACGGTGCCAAAAACATGGGCAATGGGTTACTTAAGTGACCATCATCCCAGGCATGCGGCACGTAGTCCGGGCATGCATGAACACCCATGAGCAGTGACAAGACTGTGCCTCTCCTTTGTAAGTTATTTTGTGTAAACTTTTTTTGCTTTACCATAATTTTCCAATGTCCATATTTGTCTTTTAATCTGCTTTATCCAGATGATAATATCTTATTTTCCTTGCACAGACTACATATCCTCTCTCTATGTAGTAAATTATAGAATTATAGAATATTTAGTTATTTGTGTAATATTCCGTTTTTTTTTCGTAATTTTCAATTTTACGCAATACAATCTGCGCCACCAGTCACAGCGGCCAGGAATACATGAAACACCTGGATCCGGGGTGGTCAATTACATCTACTGGCTTTTCTTTATTTGACTACTTGATCATATTCCCTCTATGCCCTATATAAATGTCATAAAAATAATAATAATTCACTTTCATTTATGATAATGGTTATTCTTTGCTGTGACAGGCTGTCTGTTTACTTTGCTTCTATATTACCATGTGTGCATGCAATGGCTTGGGTTACCATCCACTGCTGCGTGGGATTTGACTGCGGGTCAGCAAGATTGCTAGAAGAAACCACTCTTTTACACCATACTATTCGCAAAAATTAATGTTATATAGAGATAACTGATCAGCAACAGTAAAGAAAAATGTAACAAGGCTGTTTCAATAATTACATAAATTAAGTTTTCTATCTCTAACATTAGTCAACCAACCCAAGTTTAAGAGAACCTCACCATGAAAATATCTGGATTAAAGTAAGAAGTAGAACATACGGATGGCTGACCAAATCCCTGACACCATTTGATTTCTTCTCTTTATTCTTCCCACCGCTTGACTTCAACTCCCAGTGACTAGGCAGTTCTTTGCTCTTTCTATTTTTCTTGGCCATATCCTCTAGAACAACTTTTGCTTCGTCATTTTTGCCCTGTGTCACCAACCACCGTGGGCTCTCAGGAACATAACTGAAATGAGTGAGAACTGATAAATATGAAAACTCTTTGATAATTCCAACTACAAGTTCCTAATACTGAAACACAAACTATGGTACATAACCCTAATACATCTGGGTAAATAAACAACTTCCTATAAACTGTATCTCAACAACTACAAAAAATATGAATGCTGATGGAAATACATTTTCTTCCAATACTTATACAATTGCTGTTTTTATGGTTGAAGGAGAAAAAATATCTATATATACTATAACAATATTTTTCAACTATACTGTAAAATATATATATATATATATATATTATATATATATATATATATATATATATATATATATATATATCTTCACAATGAAGCTCTTACTTAACTTGAATGCATGAATATCAACCTTAAAGCAAAGTTAAAGACAATCACCAGAAGAAATATCAAATGTCTATCTTACCAAGGTAACAAAAGGAAAACGATTCCCGATAATGAACAGACGAGAGTTAGCGTTCTCCAGTCACTCATGATGGAAGCCAGCCATGAATAGATGCCAATCCCTATAGCAAAGACCATGGCTACACACATCCCACAAAAGCTGCGCCAACTGGTTCCAATCAATTCTTGAGAAAGCACAAAACTCACAAGTATCACCAGGGCACAGCATATTCCTCCTAAAAATCTAGAAGAGAAGTAAAAAGATTCAGACAATTTCAACCATATAACATAACTTAATAAACAACCAAATAATGATACAAGAGCACTTAAGTAGAATACAAAACTACAAGCACATAACGAGATAAGCAGAATCATACCGTAGAATTATCATTATCATTAACGTTGGGGCAAAGGCACTGAAACCTTCAAAAGCAATGGTTCCGAGGATGGAAACCATGAGGGTCTTGAGTCTCCCAATGACGTCAGCTACACTACCAAGTACCAGTGCGCCGGTCATGACCCCTCCCATCCATACTGACTGAACCATTGCTACTTTGTACTTCTCACTGCATATCAGGTTCCACTGAGAACGGGAAATTCATATTAGTAGTCAAGTTTCTTGGCCTTACTTTTTAAACATTCTCTTTCATATGCAAAGCCCACAATATTGTAACTATTTAATACACTAATTAAAACAAACTCAAACACTTCAAAAGTATATCAAATTTCATCATTACATCATCAGTTTAAGGGCCACTAAATCATTGCCAATCACAGAACATGTTAACATTCATGAGCAATAGTAATAGTAATAAATCACAGCAAGGGAGGAACTAGTTAGGCAGCTGTTGCTTGGCTAGCCCTGTAACCACTCATGCAGGAGCAACTTGTGCACTTTCAACCCACGATACTTGAGGAGAATGTCTATATTCATCTCTGATTTGGAGTGACTCCCAGACATTAAAACGTTCATCAATGAAATATCTTAATAAAAGTATGTATATTATATATAACATGAAAAGTGTTATCAATGCACTTTAATCTGGCAAAAAGGATTACCTGTTTTACCTTTCCTCTCTACAAATCAATATTGTTTACCTGTATATCTCATTTACATGTACACCTAAAATATGCCTATGGATTATCAAGCTACAATACCATGTACATACCTCTGACGCAAAGGATTTGTACTCCGATGTGTAGGATAGTCTGCACTCTTGTGGGTCATTGTTAATGCACTTATTAATGAGAGGCTTCGCTGTACTACTTGCATTTTTCTCATAACATTCAAAGGATGGATCTAATCCTGTGAATATAATTTTTATTAGGTTAAAAGAAATTTAAAAGAAAATCAAAATTCTTAAGACATGGAAGATACTATCTGATTAATATGTCACTGTTTTCAAAGACAAATAAAAAAGTATAAGTATAAATCACAAAAACCATTTACAGCATTCTACATAAACTACGGCATGTGCACACTATGTCATCTAAGAATGCTTACAGGTTAGGAAACACAATTATACATGCTACATAAATAATAAGTGTATTGTATTCAGCAAAAGCAACTGCTATTTACATGCACAATTCTGCACAACTATAAACATAGGCAGACAACTTTAAACACAAAATAAAATTTTCCTGAGGACTTTACAACTTTGACACAAATGCATGTTAGTAGCTAAACATCTTTAACTCCTCAAAAATTGGTACATGCATTATTTTACCTTTGTTATTATCATCTCTCCAAATGCTGTTTTACTGTAAGATACTCGTGCTACTGTAAATATCAAATGTTTAATTGATGATATGAATAGGACAGTCCTATTCTCAAGAGAAGTGTAAGGCACAGCTACAATAATCATTTTCTCAAATATACGTTCAACCATACAAGATTGTAGTAGAAAAATGTACTGAGACATCTAGCATATATACTTTCCACTTTTCAATAGCACTTTCCCACCTCATACAAGCAGCTATTGTACCTCCATTTTCATATTATAAGAATCTTTACATACATCTTACAATTAATTACCAACATATTATTTGTCCTTTTACATTTTCCAAGTGTTCAACAACAAAGCAACTGTTTTGCTAAAGATATGAAAAAGTTTGTGACTTGAATAGTGAGTGACCATGAAACAAATCTACTGGGATGACAATGAAAGAGAAGATAAGTGTGGAAACAAGTCTAAAAGATGAACATATGTAAATGTAAAAAAAAAAAGTTAAGAGGACTTATTTTTCCAACCTTCTCCTCAGTTCTAATCAACACAGCCGAAATATGTAGGGGAGTTAAGTTACAGATTTGACTAAGCCTATTTCTAGTTTTCATAATTTACATCGGCAATATTTATATTTACCTGGTCTATCACTGACATCTTAATAAATGCAATAATTGAAAATTTCATCTCTTCATCATATACATATATTGGCTATATATGTGAAACCCTTTTATAATCCATCAATGGAACAATTTTAGCCTTGAATATGAATTTCATAAATCATGCTATGTTTATCAACAATGGAATTATCATTTAAGACACCTGTTCTGTGCTCTTAAGAAAGGATTCTACAAAGAATACAGGATAATACAAACAGTAAGTTTACTATGGAATTGCGGTGACAGAAGTTGGGTAAGAGACTTAATTACTGTGATCCTGGTAATTTATGAGGAGATCTATGAGGGAAAATAAACCATATACCAAAGGAGCCAAAATTCCAGAAATTATCCCATAGAACCAAAACCAGCCAGCCCAAATCAGCCTGAAACCCATCTGGAATGCAGAACAAAAAATTTCTATATATATGCAAAAAATATTTATATATAAATAAAAGATAAACAAATCAATAAATCAATCAAAAACAACTTATTCTGAACTAATAAAGAAATCAATGTGTACATACAACCAAGAAAAGATCCAGAACCACCACTGATAAGGGAAGTGCACCGAGTGATAACCCATAATTCATTGTGTGAGTGAGGGGAGTGGAAGCCAGAATATCTTTTAAGCCACCTACCAGTGAATACATTAAGGAGCATTTGAGGAGCCACGAAGATCTGAAGAATACCTAAGAGGAGAAAGTATGTTCTCTGGCTCCATCCGAACTGTCCAATCAATTCAAACACATCATCCACTGTATATTGCATTGTACAACAGCACAGTGATCACTTTGCCTTTCAGTGTGTTTGTTTTCTGAACAGATGATTATGAGCTGATGGTAATCTTAATGATGTGTGTACACCTAATATTCACTCAATTGTTTCTATCTTGTCACTTCGTGTATTTTGCATGTATGGAAATAACACAACTGTTCTTTCACAAGTGGTTGCAAAAAGTCATTGCACTTCAAGTTAGAAAAATCACAGTTTATCATTCAGTTCTAGAAATAGAAATCATTTAGGCTTACACAGACAAACACTTAGAGAAAACATATCAATGTACATTTAGCAAAATAACTTACATAGCAAGAAGCCCATGCTGGCTTATATACATCTCAAGTTAGTGTTAGCAGTATTCATTCCTGCAAAAGAACAAAGCTACCACCATTAGCATTTACTGCCTAGACAATATCAGTTTCTTCATAATGCATTTTCTGACCAGAGTAGATATATGATATTTGTTACAATGTATCATTCATGTAAAGCAACCAAAACATGTTCATATATTAGTAGCATTATAAATGCACAACTCAAGGTAAAAGCCTACACTTATGTACACAGACAAGTGTGCACAGATACTAATCAAGATGAATATTATTTACACATACATGCACACTTACTCTTACTATTTACCTAAATACCTCCTTATACATTCACTCACTCATTCTCACTCTTTCAATCACTCATTAACTAATGTATTGACTTATACACACAGCTATTCTTTCTGTTAATTGTCTAATTAATTCACTCACTCTCTGGACCTAATCTAATTGGGTCTATTCCTATCTGCCAAAACAGCAATGCTTCCATTCCCAATAATTTTCAATTCCTTTAAATCATTTGGCCCTGGACCAATTTCAATGTGTTTTTTATACTCTTTTGATTAAAAAATATCATCTGATAATAAATCCAAAACTGTATATCTGCTAATCTATATCTAACAGCAAATATTACCATATATATGTTAACATGATCATCAATTATTCCAAACCCGAATATTAAAGTTAAAATTCTACTAGTTTCACCCAAAACATACTAAAAGATTCCTGTAAATACAAAGGAGTGATAGTAGGACCAAGAAGAAAAGATTACTATAAAAGAGACACTCCTAAGAAATAAAACTATAGAATAGGCATAGACAAACACAGCATACACAAGTCAAAATCAGACATGTATAATAAAAATACCAAGACGCATGAAACAAGAAAAATGCTTGATGACCAAGGCAGCTGTGGAAGAAAACTAAATGCAAAATTACGGAACCTGAAGAAACCTTAATTCCTCTACTCCTTTACATCTTTTCTAAATTTACTCTTCATATAACATGAAGAAGGGAACTTATCACTAAACATAAAAGCACCCATCAACAGGAGCAGTCACAGTGGAGCTTCTGCATACAAGCAATAGACAATCCACATTAACATAAAATAAGTTAAACCTTGAAGATATAAATGCTACTGTAGAATAATTACAGGTACAAACTCCAATGAGACACCTCCTTAGCATGCAGTCTTTTCTGAATCAACCCTCCCTCAGAAGAAGTAGACCTTGAAGTCCCTGCAAAAGTATTCACGCTTATACAGAAGACATAATGAATATTCTCCTTTCCAGGCAATTTAAAAAATACCGATATTC